TAAGTTGTTTCGGCGTGGGCACTTATGGCCCAACCCTCAGATGATCTGAGGTGCTGCAGGCGAGCCGTTTACCGTTACTTTGTATCGGTGGACACTAGCCCCAGCCCGTCAAACTGCCGAGTCTGAGCCACTTCAAGCCACGGAACCTCACCTGCGTCTGGGTCTCTCCCACCAAGCGCATCTGTCTATGACCGTGGGGCTCACCTGAGAGCCACGAGCGCTACGCCGAGGTCATTCGGCGGATTCTGGCCGGCGACACCGTCACCGAGGCCCCCCAGCTCGATCGGCCCGACAAGCAGCTAGTCCCCGCCGAGACGCACGCCGCCCTGACGATGGTCTCCGGTCTCCGCGCCGGTCGCACCGCGGCGAAGGAAACGAAGCCCATCGAGCCCGTCGCTGACAGCATTATCGACGCGACTATTCTCCACTTCCCGGCCGTCGTCGCTGATATGGTCCGCTTTTAGCGGCTCACCGGCGCCCGCCCCGGAGAAGTCTGTGCGATGCGGCTCTGCGACATCGACCGCACGGCCGACGTGTGGCTCTATCAGCCCGCCCAGCACAAGACCGCCCACCGCGGCAAGCAGCAAACCGTGTTCATCGGTCCGCAGGCGCAGGCGATCCTCCTGCGCTACCTCGCTCGAGGCTCGAAGGCGTTCTGTTTCTCACCGGCTGACAGCGAGGCCAAGCGGCGCGCCTAGCAGCACGCGGCCCGGACGACGCCCCTGTCGTGCAGCAACGTTCCCGGCTCGAAGGCGACGGCATCGCCTCTGCGAAGGGCAGGGGACCGCTACCGCAAAGACTCCTACGCCAATGCGATCCGCCGCGCGTCCGTCGCGTCATGGCGATCCTGGAGAACGACGCCGATAGGGACCGGCTACTCGAGTTCGTCCAAACGCCGAAAGACTTCGACCGGCTGGAGACCATGGCGCTCGCCGACGCGCTGCGGGCCGGGTGGAGTGATGAGCGGGTCGGGATCGGGGCTTACGTTTCGCGGTGAGTCGCGTTGCTCTTTGACCATCTGGAAGAGAAAGCCCCGGTCTCGGATGGGGCCCGAGACCGGGGAAGACAGTAGGCGTCGCTAACGAGTTCAGGGTCGGTCAATCGGATCGACAAAAATATTGCCACTACCACCAGGTCTACGAAGTGGTCCAAGATGTACGGTCGTGTCCCTCCAACGCGGCGCGCCATCCTTCCAGTACCGTACACGAGTCCTGGC